GGAACTCTTCCACCATACTCATGGAGACTTCTCTTCGCGCTTGAGTCTCCTCGTCTGGGCCATCAACGCCCGAAAGCTTAGATACTTTATTTGCCCTTCCGACTCTTGCAAAAATGAAAACTGCGATTTCGCTTCTATAGCCTAGTTTCGGGATCCATTCATTCTCTAGCCACCATGTCAGCACGAAGTAATTATGCTTGGTGCACCTCTCTAAAAATTCAACCCAACCATCGTCGTCCCAAAAAAGAATCATCATCCATGGGATTCCACGAATCTTCTTGCCTGCCATCACAACTCGATCAATGATCGTTTCAAAACAACAGAAAATAGAAAACTTTTTACTTCTTTTTGGGTATGGGTTGAACAAGGAACAAAACGTTGAAATCAAGACAGCGAAAAAGATTACAATCAGGCCGATGAAAAGGTTGATGAGACCAAGAATCGACCACAAGACTGTGCCAAGACAGCCACATGTCCTTGTGCAAAAGGAGTCACCTGACGAGCAGCAAGCGTTAGACCAGTCATTTCAAGAAAGGAGCAGCACACAGTGACGACCATATACTGTATACATACCGTCTTTGGTCGGAGCTCCAATCTTTTTGTAGTCTACGGGATCCGGAAGCTGCTTAAAATGAGAACCAGGGTCTCCAAATACTTGTTTTCCTCTTCTTGAAGACCAACCAATCGCACCGCGGATACCCTCTTCAATGTCCCTTGCTTTGCTCTTCATCTGAAATTAGCGGTTTGATATTAATAAACGATGCAGTTTTAAAAAACGATCGTGTATCGGTATTGATAAAAAAAAGTTTCGCCCAGTATTGTGAGGTATTTTTGACTACCGTGTATTTTAATACCAGTACGAGTGATATGGAGAAAAGGAATTGACATCGTGCCATGCATGCATATTTACTCGTACGCATGCACGCACGCGTTTCAATGAAATTCGGGAATCTCCATTTCGTGGTCACTTCATCTCAATCCAATGGTCGTCAGCGTTCGTCTGCCAATCGAGCGGATGCAAGAGAGGACAAGTGCTTCGGTAGTTACGGAAGCAGAATTCTCTTACACCTACAGTACAGTACTGTAGCCATTGAGATCCAATGGTCGTCAGCGTTCGTCAGCCAATCGAGCGGATGCAAGAGACTGCAGTTGCCAATGGTCGTCAGCGTTTGTCTGCCAATCGAGCGGATGCAAGAACGGAGGACAAGTGCTTCGATAGGTAATTACGGAAGCAGAATTCTCGTACACCAATAATAGCCAATGAGATCCTCTGATTTGAATTCCTTCTCCAAGGAAAATACTCAGTTCGTACGGTACCAGGTACTATCCACTATCATACCGGTACCATGTGCACCAACTGCCTCTAGCGCTAATCTGGGTGGTCTTCCTTGAGGCTACAGTAAAAGGGAAAAGGAGAGGTAGAAGCAGAAGAGATTCCGTGTTCTCAATTTTAAAAAAGTTCTTTATCAGCCATCGGAAATATACTGTACTCGTACCAGGTACTGTACCGGTATACTACAGTATTAATACTGTATACATCGAAAATACGCCAAAAAGTGAGGGTCATTCAGAATTATGGGCCTCGAGTCATCATAGACATAATAATATTGGACTGCCGCAAACACAAGCGATATTGACAAAAACACCACACATTCTATAGGTAGAAAACAAACATGGGACACCCAGAAGTTCAGGTCAACGTTCATAATTTCTTTCTCATCAAGCAAATCGTGGAAGAAGATAACAGCCTAATAGCAGTTGGAACCTTCATTCAACACTGCTTTGAAGATGAAAAGACAAACGAGATGATCAGGGGCAGAATGCACGAAGAAGGCAAAGATATCGATGATTATGAAATCAAGTTCGAGTATATCGCTTCAACGATGAAACTGCTGATAACGACAGTGGGTATGTTCGGCATCGACGGACTGAAAAGTATGAAACTGACATGGGAACCCTATACCGCCACACTTATCAAGTCAAGGCACCGTTGGATGTCAATGTCGAATTGGATTACTTCCCGTTCCGTGTGGTCAGCGCCAAGTTGTTGGTCGAATTGAGTACCTTTACCACTCTTGACAACGAGACGCGGCTCCGACCAAATCTCATTCTGCACTTGTTGGATAAGACCAACATGTTTAGCATTCAAAAGGATCAAATGACCGAGACAAAAGGAAGCGATTTCGATAAAGCGAAAGACAAGATGGACAAAGCAGACAGCTATGACTTTATTTCGCCCTTTCCAAAAGTGGCCTACCTCTACGACACAAACAAGAGATATTGCCCCAAGTTTATGATTACCTTTCTAATGGTCGAAGATGGTATGAAGAAATTTGTTGAGATTGTGGCTCCCATGTTCTTGATTGCTGGCATGAATACGATTCATGTTCTGAATCCAGATGAAAAAGTGGAAGTGGCTGACTACATTGCCAACTCGGCCACCTTTGCCCTTTCTGTGCTCGTCTTCTTGCCGACCATGGTTGGAACCTCGAGAGTCCAACAAGTCTGGACCCCGAACAATCTTTACATCGTGTTGATTTTTGTTGCCCTCACATTGTCGAGTATACCCGACACTTGGGCAGGTCACAAGGGCTATGCCATTGCTGGAATGATTATCTACTGGGTTTCGTTTCTGTTCCCGATTGTCAATAGCATTCGCTACCTTCTGTTCCTTCGCAAGGCAAGACGAAAGGCAAACGCCAAACATTTTTGGCAGGGCCCCAGCAAGAACCTTTACAAGGCTTCCAAGAAAGAAATTGCTCACGAGTTTGCCAAAGTGGAAGAGATTGTCTACAAGCCAGATGATGAACGCTTGCAAATGGAATATACAGTGCGGGAAGTGCACAAGTTCCGTGTGCTCGAATTTGCTTCTGTGGGTGCCATTGCCCGTAGTAAAAAGAAAAAACCAGCAGGTGCGGCAAAACTGGAGGTTGCTGTTTGATGATGATGTATCGAAATCAACGAATGAAACCTGGAATATATTTGTATTGTTCGTATTATATATATTATAACGATATATAGTCATTTATTTATTTTCAGTCTGTCTTATATTCTGAACCGATTC